ATGTTTTAATTGAAACAATCAAATCAGGTTAAAACTTCCTAATTTTATGAATAAAAGCTTCTTTATTTTACATATAAATCAAATCTCTTTAGTTTAAATTAACTGGTAAAAGCAGATGAGCACAAACTAGACCATTTAAAAGAATTTGAGCAAAAGAATCTTAGCCTATTTTTGCTGGTGGATGCTCAGTCATCCATCCATGGAACTTTTTCAATAAAAATGTCTGAATTAGCATTGAGTTCCAAGCTTTATAAAGTAGCCCAACAAAAGCCTTGTTATGGCTTAGAAAACATGCATATTGAACCGAGAGAACAGGTCCGCCCCTTAGGAATGAGGAGTAATTAAGGTTGTTGTTGGCGTGCAGGTTTAACCGAAGCTGGCCCACTTCTTAAGGACCAAAAATGTTCTCATTTTGGACAAAGAAGACAGGTGGTTTGAAAGGGGTGTGAAGGAAGCCATTTATGTTAAGAGAGAAAAAACAACCTTAAACAGAGGGGGTGGACTAAGCTCTCATAAACCTAGAGTTCTGCGATAGCGTTGATTTCTTCCTGCTATCATAATCCTCATGGCCAGGCAGGAGATCAAAACATCGCTTCAGTGAGCCCGACCAACAATGCCCCTAACTACTCCCCATTACAAAATGGTGGACCTGCTCTTTCGGTTCAATTTGCATGTTTTCTAAGCCAAAACAAGGCTTTGTTTTTGGTCTACTCTATAAAGCTTGGAACTCAACACTAATCCAGACATTTTGAACTGAAAAAGCTTCCTGGATACGAAGTAAAACGTGTTTTTTTTTTCTAACTTGTTTGGAATTACCCAATTTTACTTTTTTTATTTTTAAAATACGGTAAATGAGTAGAATCTAATTTTTTAATTAAATTTGTTTTTCCATATTTAAGGTTATAAAAAAAAAACTCAATCACTTCCAGAGACAAACAAAAAAGGCCTGCTTATACATTATATGAGAAGATTGTCCATGACCATCACAGCTGTGACAGTAGTGGGCGCTGTTTTTCCAACCACTTTAGCTTCCGCACAAAACAAACATGAGTGAGAACTTTTTCTGCTAAAAACATCTTGATGAGCTTTCATACATTTATTTTTTAACTACTACATATATAAAGGTCTAGTTTCTACCATATGAGTAGTGATGTCACAGGTAGAGATGATTTTTATGTTTTTTTAATCATTTCAAGTGTTTATATTTGACCTTTTATTCATTTTTCAGATAAGAAGATAACTAAATATTAACTCCGTATGTCTATATAAAGATTTCTGTTTCTTACTGGTGGTTTCTGATGGGAAAACCAAATTACCAAAACATACATGGACCTCACAGCCTTAAGCTGCTGTCACACCTTGACGATTTAGACAGCGTGTGCCTGATGTATGAAGAATCTGCTGATATAGGTGGTTATGGGTACCTTTTTATATAAATTATGAGCACGCTGAAAGACGCTAGCACAGGTACGCTGAGGAACAACAAAACTGGTTGTCTTGACGGATGCCAGCGTATGCTCATACGTGGTCCATAAGTTACAGGTAAGTTATCTGATCGTTGACACAAGTTAAGTGTAAGTTGCTCATAATGTGTGGAGTCTAGCTTATTAAAAACCTATGAGTAATTGTGCATAACTTATGCATAACTTATGCATAACTTATCTCCAACGCATGTCAACATATCTGACATGTTCCAGACGACCACTGAACGTGTTTCTGACTTACAGCTACTCTATAATGGCGTATTAGCAGTGTTGTGGTATAAAAGGGGTTCACAGGGGGAAACCATCTGTACTTCTCCAGACTTTATCCCCATCATAAGGTGAGCCTGAAGGTGATGAATCCTCCCTGCGGTCACGCTCATGACCAAAAAACTTCCTAGCAGGCATGCAGCTGAATCTCCTGCAAATTCAAACCTTTATTTCTTTTTTCTTTTTATGTATTTATTGTTTTGGCGAGCTTTAAACTACAGCTAGATTAATCCCGCAATCAAAAGACATTTTATGCAGGCCGGGCGCATCTGGCGAATCGCTGCCCCCCTTAGGACGCTGGCTTGTGACATTTCATGGGCATTACGCTGCTGTGCGTTATGCATAAGTTAGGCTGTCGTTGGACATAAGATCTGGACTTGTTATGAATACTCTATGTATACGCCCAAAATGTAAAAAAATACTTAGAAAGTTCAGCATATGCTAGCATTTAAGAAGAGTCTGGGACGTCAGGCATACGCTGGCTAAATCGTTAAGGTATGACAGGGGCTTCACTGGCTGCAGCACATTATTCAGCAAGTTACAAACTATAGAAAAAAGAAAAATGAAAACATTTTTAGGTTAAAAACTTTTTCCACGCTAAAAAACAGACTTCCTTTTACTCTAGATTTAAGGTTAAAAATCCAACATTTAACCTTTTTAACAGGATGAAGTGCTCAAATTCCTGAAAAAGGTCCTGCTTAGGAAGTGTGAGGTAACCTCTTCTCTCTGAGGATCTGAAACAGGATTTCAGCGGGTGGGGGGGTATTTGGCGGTCTTAGAGGGAGCAGAGTATTACTGTCTGTGAAATGTTTAAGGTAAGCTAAATTATGACGACAGTATTTATCCCCCCTCCTTGTTTTCAAGGACGGAGCAGTGGAATGAACTACAGTAAGGGAGACAAATAGGACTCACTCTCCCAGAATTCACTCTGGCTGGTTGAGAGAGGGGGAGACACTAGAGAGATGAGGAGTAAAAAGGGGAAAAGGCGAGCAGCAAGTGGACTTAAAATGTATTCCGCCTCTCCTACTCTACTGTACAAAGGTTGTCTTGTCGTCTTTTTTTTTTTCTTCAGAATTTCTTGGGTCCCCAAGCGGACGTTTGCTTCGGGGCCACACCGGAGCCGAACGTGGGGAAATCCTCAGCGCTGCTCATATCAGGAGCCTAAAAACAAAAAAACAAACAAACACACAAAAGTGTTATCTGTACAGGTTTATATACCAGGGATAGACAGGCTGGAGGAATCATCGGGAGAGAGAGATAATTTCTCTCTGCTCCTCTAAGTTGAGCTCTCTGCCTGCTCTTTGTCTGAGACGCTCTCTGTCATTTTCCCCTTTTGTTTTTGGGATGGACATGGTGACAGTTTTTTTTTTTTTTTTTTAGATGCGAAAATCCATACAGTGGGTTTATGTAATCAGGGATTAAAGCAAAAAAAAAAAAATCCTGAGCCTGAACTTTTTCCTACTCAAGAAACTCATGTGTATATATATATATATATATATATA